AGAAGCAGAGGCATTAGCGGGGATAAGCACAGGACCCTGACAGGGCTCAGAGCTGCTTCTGTGTGAAGCTAATTGGGTCCTGGGAGCATTAAATCCCTGACCCCGGCCTCATTAGTCTAAGTCCTCCCCACTGGAGCTAACCAGCATGGGTGCTGATCTTAATATGATGCTATTTTTGAAAGCAGTATTTAGTTTCTGTGTACCCACTCACAGAAATAAAGAAGACTTTACAACGCCTTTCCACTTTTTTTTTTGGTAGTAGAATATGGGTATTTTGAGAAATGTTCACACTGTTCACATTTTTCTCTTGCTGATTAAGTCTGCATGGTCCGACCTTGGGGCAATGGGGTCTGGGAGATACTCTTAAAGATGATCAATTTCAGAGGGATTCCATTAAATAATCGATTTCGCTTGTTCAGTCCTAACAGAGCACTCTTAGAATCAAATGTGTAAGTTTGAAAAGATCCAGATAGATCTCTTTAATGCTTATGTTTAATTCAGACATTTACCATCATGTGGCAAGGCTGCTCAGTCTATAAAACATGCAGTAACGTAAAAATAAGGAAATTATTCTATCCGATTGAATCATGCAAAATGTCAAAAGGGCAAATTAAGATTACTAAGTGATTTTGTGGGCCAAATACTTTGGCCACATCTATAATTAACTGGGAGACTGCCAAAATTTACTTTGTTCTTGATGACACAGCCAATAAGAAAAAATGAGCCATAGGAAGATAGGTTTACATTTAAGTCATTGGATTTTGGGCGTTTCTGGCTTAATTTAAATCTTTTCATATTCCAGATGTACTTGTTTGATCAAGTTTTAATTTGCCATAAAAGAATATATGAATCATAACTATCAAAACGCTTGGGATTTCAAAGAAATGTTTTTAAGTTATTTAATCAAATTATACAGATGTATATCAACTGATCTCTTGACAGCATAAGGCATCTGGGAGTCAGATAACAGGTGAGAAATGACAGTCACGTGCCTTGCTTGAGCAAAGTGCAGCTGCACCTGCAACCACTGCAAGGGCCCACAGGGATGGGTGTATCACCCAGATTTCGACCAACTGTGAGGGGGACTAGAGAGAAAGCTTGTGATGACACTACTTCCACCTAGAGTGGGGAAATTCTTGAGACACAGATAGGTCCTGCCACTCAATAACATCTGAAGGGCAGTGGATATCACAAGATGAGGTGCAAGCACCTAAGGCTAAGGGGAGCTCCTTGCAGAATCATTAAGCCACGCAGTGAGAAAGGCAGAGGCAAGATGGTGCCATGTCACGTAAGGAATTCAGCCATCTTTCCTTTGGGAGTGGTGCCTGCTGCATGTGTGTTAAACAGATGAGTAGAAAAGGGTTACAGAACTGCCGACCTGGATGCAAGTCTAGCAGAGTTCACATCTTGGTCCCACCAGTTACTGAATTTTTTACCTTGGTTGCTTCATTTAACTTCTGTGTCTCTTAACTTCTCCCCCTGTGAAATGTGGGCGATTACAGTCCCTACTTCCCTGAGTGGTTATGGTTTAAATCAGGTCATAGTTGAGAAGCACATGGAACAGTATCATGTCACTCCAGGATGATAAACAAACAGTAAGAGATTGCCTGAAGCCAGAGAAGGCAGGGAGCTGCACAGGGGCCACCATTGCTCCTCTGACCAGCGGACACTTGCACAGCCATATCTGCTCAATTCTGCATGTATTTAAAAACCAACTATCAACAGCACTCTTCCTGATTTGGTAGGATGTGTGTAGACAGCAGCACGGGGACTTAACAAAGAGAAGGATGTGTATAGCCAAACCAGCAAACCTTTCTTTGATCCTCATGTTACAGCTATGTGTTTGCATACTTCCCATTTTAACTGGAGTCTTGTAAGTGTTTAGTCACAGAACTACTGTTTCCCAAATTATCACAAACTATCCCACATTCTATAGTTATCTAACATCTTGTACACTAAATGTGAGAAGGAAAAACTGAATTTTTTATTCACTGAGCTCTGCCATATTTTTTATCGAGTTAGCATAATGATTTATTTATCACAACACAATATACACCATTGGAACTCTTCTCCTTGATAGTCCTCAAAGTCGTTTCTTGGGTCCCCAGGTTCCTTCCATGTTGATATGCTATTATCTTAAATGTGGGATCCCTAATGTGTTACAGAAGGGGGAGAGAGAAGCTCCATGTTCTGTAATTAATTGACATATCCCCCAAAGTGAAAATAGACAAGAAAAACACTTTTGCCCCTGATGATGTCTACGGCCCTAAGGACCGGCAGGCCTAGTATGACTCATGGTCCCTCTAGTCAGGCAACCTTGGTTGAAACCACTGGCTCCAAGTTGCATGCAGTTCTGCATGGAGTGGGGCCCTCAGCGTTTATCTGCTGAGTTTAGGAAATGAATGAAAAACAATGAAACAAGTTGGACCTGACCCTTTTTAAATTGTACAATTTTATTGGGAATCTATCACAACTTTGTTAATTTTCTAGAGTCCCTTGAGAACTCTTTCAAAGAAAAGGATGGGAATAAAAAGAAAGAATATTGACCAAGTACAGGAAGTTCAGCCCCAAAGCATGGTAAAGGATGAATTATTATGAATGGGTGCTTGTCTGATACATGATATAAAAAGAACCACGATGCTTCATTAGGTCCCAAGAAGCATAGGAGGGGCTGTGTCACAGTGATGCCCTCTAGCCATACATCCTCCTAGTGCCCATGTCCTTGAGTAGCTCATCTCCACACAGACTCAGGGGTTGGCCATTGGACTTGTGGTGGTCAAGGGGACATTTTCCCATCAAAATATTTTCCTGACATCACCACAGGAAAAAGAAGCCCAACATACAAGACCATGTGCATGGAACAAGCTTGCTCCCCACTAAGCGAGCCCTGGTGAGATCAACAGGACTTCTGAGCTGTCCCAAGAGAATCCCAAGAAAGCAGAAGCAGTTGGATCTCAGGTCTTTGAGTATCGGGAGGGTTATATAGGTGAGCACAGTTCCCCCATCACAGTGAATAAACCAGGTCCTGAAGCTTTAAACAATGCTATCTGGTTAGAACTACCAGTTCTGATTTGTATGTCTCATGAGGGTCACCGGAGGCAGATGACAGCAAGAAGCAGAAAGAGCTGAAGGAGCGTAGCGCCCACAGAGATGGGGACTCCCATCCTCCACCCATCCTTTCACCCTAAGGAAATAACTATGACCTTTTAGCTCACGTCTCCTCTACTCTGTAAGTAGAAAAATGTTATCTGTCTCTCACAAAGTCTGCTTTCCTTGACAAGGTATGGTATTTCAATGATTCTAAAGGGAAAGCTCATACTTTGTAATTCACTGACCATCAAATACCAATTATTTTTAGGCTTCAATGCCATTAAAATAGCACTTCAGTGGGAACAACAAAAAAACCTGCTTTCATTTGACTACATAATGGTGACTTTTCTGTTGTTTGGCAGGGAAAAAAAAATTGAAATAATGCTTGATCTAAAGCAACTAAAATACTGAGCAGATAATTCAATGAACAGCCCCAAAGCAGGGTTCAAAGGCACAAGCAGCACTAATAACTGGGGACTTATCACTGCCTGGAATGGGGGCTGGATAAAGTGCAGGCAGCCCCGTGCTGTAGGTCCTTTGGCTGCCTGGTCGCAGTCAGTACCAGAACAGTGCTGCTTAGCAACACCAGCTCAGTGTGAATCTGCCAAGGCGCTGGGAGAAAAAGCACTCATTTGGAGCCTCCTGCCATTGGTGGTTCCACTCAGAACGAACCAGCCACTTTGCCCTAAAGGAACTCATGTGCTCAGTATAGTTCCGTATTATTTATGGACTGGCCTCTTCTTAAGGCTTTCTATGTCAAGAGGAAAATGAAAGCTTTATGATGGAAAGCATGACACAATTTAAAGGGAGGTACAGATAATCACAAACTTCATTCCCAGGCATTCTTTCTCGTACTAGTAAGGAGGGTCTTGTCTTATTACGAACACAATGAAGGAAAGGAAAATAGCCTGCCCGAGTGCATCCTTTTTATAGCCTCAGCAGAGGCCATTTGCTATTTTTGCAGAGCCTAAAAAGGGATGTATTCATCACAAAAATTCGGAGGGAAGCTTGATGAATTACAGCGACAAATAGCATCTGTTGCTACGTAAAATCTGCCTAGAGACTGCAGGGATACTGTTTCCTTCCTCTCTTTGAGACCTCAGCAGGAACCAGTAGAAGCTAAAGCAACCTCCTCTCTGTAGGACTATATACTACTGATGGAAAACTCTGGAAAGGTATCAGTGGAAGAGATACAATGGGTCTCAGAAAGTTGTGGGAAAATTCCCAGTATGAAAAATCTATGCATAAAATTTTGAAAAAGCACTACAATATGCATCTCTTAAGTGCCATTGTATCCTGGTGACCAAACGAGCTGGCTTCTTCTTCATAGCCAGGGCCTCTATGATTTTAAGCTCTGCAGTCGGTTACCTTTGCTTTGGAAATTATTTTGTGATGTCTCAATGGTTCCTAGAGCATGCTCTGAGACCTGATATTAAACGTCAAGTCAAAAGAGGCCAGTGATATACTCTGGTTTCTCTTCAGTTTGTATAAATCTTTCACTTTTTACTTTTCCTGTTCATTCCATAACATAACTCTGAAATAACTGCCGGTTTGAAACACAACAATCACATCTGGATTTGAACTTTTTACTCCCAGACTTTAAAAATTGTTACTGAAGGTACACAGAACTGGTTTCTGGCTTACCTCATCCATTTTTTCATGAGCACAACCCCATTCTTTCCTCTCTCCTCTCCATCCCCTCATCCCCTCTCAACCCCTGAGTTGTATATTGATTTCTGTGGAAAATTACTGAAGAAGTAAAAAACCCATGTCTGGTCCATCATAACTCACTGCCCACGTGCCAAGTCAACCTGCCTTGAGGGGACAAGAACACAGACACTTTAAGGAAAGCGATGCTGACAACAGTGAAGAGCTTTTCCCCACTCCCGTCCCCACATTCCTTCCCTTACCTCGCTCTGACTGGCTGAGATCCTAGTCTGGGTCCCAGGGCACTACCATTCCCAGGAGAATTCTTCCTGGCTAACGCTGGGGATATAGAAGTAGTTCTTTGAGGCACCTGTAAGAAAAGCAGACTTCAGAAAGGTTTCCCTCAGAATAGTTCCTACAAGCTGCTCTCTGAAAATCTTTCTCCCTGTCGAAGGTTTCTGAGGAGCTTCAGAAACGGAAACAGTGATGGACTTTTTATCTTAAAAATACCGTGTAGACAAACTAACATTCTGATTCATTACGTTAAAAATAACTGTCATCTGTTGGCTGGCAATAGTGGTAGACACCAGGAATCTCTTTGGGGTGCCATTCATTCATTGAATGGGAGAGTAGCCGCTCAGCTCAGGCCAAGTTTCATTTTTAACTCACATAACAACTAATGAGCAGATAAGGAAATGCCATTAATCCAGAGTGAAACAAGGGTTTTAGCCTAGAACATGAGACATAAGTCATATGTCAGTGAGTTCAAAGGACATAGTACAGTAGGTTCTAGTCAACTTGAAATGATTAATTCAAACCCAAACATCAGGCCAGTTATGCACTGGAAGATCAATTAATAGGCAGTCTCAAACAGGATGCTGAATTAATTTGGGACTAATACTGAAAATATTAGGATGGCTTCAGAAAGACTGTGTGGGTACCAATTTGGTTGTAAAGTACTGTAGGAATATATATTGCTTTGTCTGGCAAGAAGCTAAAGTTGAATTCAACAGGCCTAATTTTAGAAAACATACAGACTTTTTATTAAAATCACTCTTATGCCAAAGGTATCTATTTAAAAAATGATAAATTTTAGCACAGAAAATATTTCCTGCATTAAGTACTGTTTGTCTGTTTTAAAAATTTATTATAATTCATTGACACAAAGATGAGTCAGTGAAGTGAAGCAAAATGACCAAATCAGTTTTATCACCTATTTTAATTAAATATTATTATTTCTATTTTTTCTTTTCTTTTAGCAAACATAAATAGTTGTAGGGAAGAAAGAACCTTATGAATTATGAAAACTAAAATAATCGCTTTGGTCTAAAAGAATTCCCTAGCTCTACAAACACAGGCCTACAGGTTTAGAGAGCATTGATGAATAACTTAAATTTTCATTTCCAGCCTTGTATCTGCTCTGCCCAGCTCGTTTTCCCTATGAAACTTTGCTTCTTGATAGACTCTCCTGAAGGCAGCTCTATATGAAGGAAACATCATTTAGCTTTCATTTTCAAAATAATGAGAACCATTACGATATCCTTCTGAGAGGACTGTAAGAAAAAATACTGATTAAGTCATCAAAAACTATGTTTTGTTTTGTTTTGTTTCCCCCCCTGGTATGAGCATGGCAGTGGGATTGCTTTCTGGAGCTCATAGAACATTCCATTTGTCGCAGACTTTATGCTAAACTCATGACAGGGGAGATTCCCAAGCCAGGGAGAATCCACTGTAAACATCTCCCTAAGATTTTAAAACACTTCCAGATCGTCTGTAGCTGGGTACCCAGCCGTACTCTAGAACCCTTAGAGTAAAAAGAAGAGGGAAAAATGATACAGAAAGTTCTGAGTTCCAGAACATTCTATCCAGTGGGACGGCTGGTCATTTCATTCTGCAATCAGTGAAGGTTGGAATAAAATCATGACTGGGCCTTTAGAAAGAGCTTGCCTTAACCAGGGCCAAGTAGAAAATCCTAAGAATAACACTATCTTCTGAAACTCTGAAATCTGGTTTCATTTTATGTGATCATCCACAAAAATATCCATTCTTCTACTTCTTAGTGTGGAAACTAGAGTAAGTTTGAAATGCTTGGTGCTGAGAGTGCTGATGCTGAACACAGCATAGATGCTTGTAAGTCACTCTGTCTCCCTGAGGTTGTTTCAGAAACAAGCTCAATGGCCGTGCAGGTCTAGGAGAGGGTTCCAGATGCACCAAAGGAGCTCTAGGTCATCCCCTCCTCCATGACCAGAATGGCATGGTCAATAATGGTCAACAATGACAGTGATGAGACCAAGGCCAGGACCTCACCTTTGGTGGAATGTCTTCTTCCTGTCGCAGCCAAGAACTTCGGTCAAACTTCTCAATTCTTGTGGGGAGTGGAGGGTTTTCAGAGGTGGGGTCCGAATTCTGGCGTGGCATCTCCACGCGGTGAGAAGTCACGCTCAGAGCCTCCTGGAACCCGGAGAGGCCTTTGGTAGGCTGCTCGTGCACTGACTGGGATGCGGTCAGGGCAGGGCCCTGAGATTTCACAGCGACCAGATGAGGAAGCTAAGCACAAACCAATAGTAGAGAAGAGTCATTGAGGTACAGCTATTACCTCAAGCAGGTGAAGGGCAGAGAAAGTTCTAGGACCCATGAATTACAGAGGAGAGACTCTACCACAGCCGACTACATGAGTTTTTAACATCTCTTCAGAATTTTGCATTTACTGACAGGGACGGCTAGGTTAGCATCCTGGTAACAAGTAGTTTCTTTGGACTGCCAAAAACTTGGCAGAAGAGCTTGATAATAATGAACATTTGCATGCCAACAATGCAACATCTTTTGCAAGTACAAATTTCCTCCTCTGAAATCCTTAATTTGGCTTCAGAGCCTGCTCTTGTTGAAAAACGAGAACTCCAAAGAACTTATGTGTTATGAATTCACAGTCCACCATGAGATGGATGCAACCATTTATCCCATTTTACACACAAAACACAACAGGAGATACCATAAATTTTCCAGCTAACATGTGCTGGAGGCAGATAGGGGATCCAGGCATTTGACCCTAGTGGCCGGTAGGCCTATCCGCTACAAAATCCTGCCTTCTGTTGTACTGGCTCAAACCATCTAGAGTGTTATGGATCTCCTGATACCAGAACATTTCCAATAGAGCTATAGGACCCACAGCTGGGCATGTGGTGATAGTGTCCATGGAAGCGAGACATGTAGAACTTTTGGGGAAATTGTGGCTATTTGAGATAAATCACTAAGATCCAAAGTCCAGGAACCCCTTTCGCTATGGCACTGCCCACACTTTTTGTCAGTCCTGATTGAAGCCTGTTTCCTTCGGTGTGCAGAAGGTGAGCTCCCTGGAGACCGAAGCCACATCTGAAACACTCACTGAATGTGAAAGGTGTCCAATCGCTCTTATGTGGGGGAGGAAAAGTAATCCAGAACCTCATCTAAATGAAATTATGCATTCAACAGGCATTTATTTAGTATCTGCTTTGCACAGGGACCTGCCAAACCCTTTCCAGTCTGAAATTTCAGCCTTTAATGTCAATGATAATTCGGAAGAAAAGCCTCATCATTCACTTGCACTCGATGCTATGCTTCAAACAAATTAGAATCATTCCAATTTATGTGAATATTAAGTACCACCAAATGCATGAAGTAGTACAGAAACAACACATGATTTTTAAAAATGCAGCACAAAACACACACCTATATGAAAAGGGCAAAAACCAAAAACCAAAACCAAAGCTGAACACCCTAAGAATGCTTAATTCTGTTAACTGTCACCGAAAATCTGTACTTCAATTCCCTAGCTATTTTGAGAAAGGAAGTTTTTCCCCCTCCTTTCCCCTTTGATAGGGCAAACATCCCTCAGAAGCTAAGGGTTAGGAGTTTGAAAAGATATTTGTACATTAAAACACAAATTCCTATAAAAATGTATCTTTTTGAAAATTATGAATGAAAGGAACTACATACAAATAAAACAACCAAGGCAGAAGGCATGCTAAATAAGTTGGTACTGAAAATGTTGGGTATTAGTAATTAAAGGCAAACCACAAAGAATATTCAATTTTATCACATCTCTTAAACTCCAGTTCAAATAGAATTATGTATTTCAAAGGTGACCTCCAAATTATTCTGAGGAAGTCAACATAGGTAGCTATCTGGAAGAAATTTCAGACATTTGGGTAAAGAAAAGCTGTATTAGAGTTCTTTGTTCATGATACGTCATATCCTATTTTATTTCATATTTCATTTTCGGTTTATATGATATAAAGGCTTGCAGAGCTTCCAGATACTTCTTCCTTTCTAAGATTAAGGGTGATGCTTTTTATTTTTTTTTTCCTTATCCTTTCTTCTACCCTTCAAATTCAACAAGGCCTTCCATGTCAATTCTATATCAAGAGTTATAATTTTATCGGTCCTATGCTGAGTCCATGTTACAACCTTCTGGGATTTTCACTGCATTTACCATATACCCTTACTGCCCAGTAAAAAGGGGGTCATACCTGGGGATCCACTGGTCTAAGCATGGGAGGTGTTCGAGCAGGCTGAACCCCACTAATACTGAAGGATTCTGACCGTGGGGGCAGGTTGGGGTCAGATATTCTGTTGGCAATTTTGTGAGGCATGGCAGGTGAACTCTGTCGGTTAAGTCTTGACCGTTCTTCTACCTAGAAGTTCAAAGAAAAGAGAACCTCAGTGGGTAGACGCCAACTCGTTTCCTAACGGGGGCTTTCTGTAGTCACCTGCACAGCCATTTTTGTGTCCCTTTGGTCAATTCAGAGAGTCAAACATCTCCATTTTTGCTCTGCATCAATAATTCTACAAAAAAGCTCTTTCTTAACAGAACCAGCACTAGCAAGAACAACAAAAATGCAGAACATCCAAGGCATTGTCCTCCCATAATCCATTCCCTTGAGTTAGCTAAGAATTTAGGACCTGCCTAAGAAGTGATGTGTCATGGACTGGGATATAATCTGCCAGATGAACCACCGAGGGTGACAGTTGGCACGTCAGATAATCTGGGCCAGCTAGAGTAGGCATTGCATTTGCTTGGCAAAACCAGAAAATGGCTTTAGGTTGACTCATGGGACATAGAGGTAAAGAACATGAGGGAGGGCTGACAAGGATGAACTTGAGTGCTGGAGCCCCAGTTTCTTCACGTGCCCTAATGGTAGGCAAGTGGGTGTGCCAGGCTGCCTGATTAATGAGCATGGCCTGTCTAAAACCAACTTCCTATATCATTTTCCTTTCTCTTTAGGGGGCTCTTTCTTTTCAGCTGTCTCTCCTCTTTCTCCCTAAAATACACAGCTCCGCCCTATTCCATCTCAGCTTGTGCTCCACTTCCCCCAGCTCCTCTCCCCTCCACCCTGTCTTTCTGCACCTGCTATTCATTCTGCCTGCCCCATTTCCCTCATTCTTCAATCCTCTCTTCTCTCGGGCCTTGCCATTCTCTTCTTCTCACAGTTTCAGCCACACCAGATCGCATATTGCAAGAACTTCCCAGGGAAGTCGCAATTACTCAGTGAAGGCTCTTTGTTAACAGGCAGCAAGGACTCCTGGCACATATTTATAGCAGACACACTGCCACTCGGGACAATTTCAGAGGGAAATGTTGGTAGACATGATGTACACTAGACAATAGCCTGCTATGTTCTTAGACAACTCAAAGACATCTTGGAATTTTCTTCAAATCCTTCTTTCCCTGTAATTACTTTCCTTTCAGCCAATTGGACATTATACTTCTCCAAACCCTGGCCAATGGTGCTGTCCTCTCTACCCTGAAGAATCTTCAGAGTGAGCTCTTAACCTGTAAACTGACTGACTGCTGGAAGAGCTATGTGCAGGCACTCAACACTGTTGCCTTTCTGTCTATTTTATGGAGCAGCTATGCATTTTCCTGCCTGGTTTAAAATCCAAATTCAGAAGACCTAGTCTTTTTCATGCTCCCCACCCTTTTTTGAGCCAGACTCCTTCTTATATGCAGTACCAGTCTGTTTAGAACTGTCATATTGGTCTGAAATATTTTCACATGGCAAAATAAGCTACAGAACAGAAAACAGCCCTCCTGCCTATCTGGAGGGGTAATGTGACCATCTTTCCCAACCATGGCTGTGCAGGGTACATACATCCAGTTGACCTTGGTTCTGAAATCCCATGTCCCAGAAGCTCACCACAAGCCAAATAAGGTTAGTAGCAAAAAGCCAGTTATAATGAACCAGCACATGTAGACTGTGTGTGCATGTGTGCCACACACTCCATCAGCAGTAAGGTGGGCACCACTTTGACCAGAAGAACTAAGCCAGCTTTGAGGTAAGACCACAAAGAAGAAAAAGTCCCAAGAAGACAGCAATAAGTTGAGCCCAAGCATGCAGTCGACTGCTTTCCAAATGTCAAACTCATTGAAAAATGGTGAAGATTTTTAAACCACTGAAATTAAGACAGCCATTTAAAAATTTCCAGGTAATATTCTGAATAGAGAAATCACATGTTCGAGTGGTTTATGACTACTACTCCACTGCTCAGATTCCACTATCCAAACCATTGACCTCTGAGCTCAGGAACCCAGGAGATTCAGACACTTCGTCACCAAGACAGAAGGTCATCTAAGTTCTAGCCACTTATTATCCTAAATTCAAGAACCCAACACAAGAGCACTTCAGAAAGCTCATGGAAAAAGTCAAACTAAAAGTTTATTTCGAAGCAAATTTTTAAATTCATACATGATTTTTTTCATACTATGAATTTCCCATAAACTTTTTGAGGAATATCTGTAATTGTTCTGTTACTTTTCATTGTAAAGCATAGAGATTTTAAATACAGCCTAAAAGCAATAGTAGAAATATCCTGAAGACTCCATCTGAAGCAAAGAAATCGTTGTTGAAAGAAGGTACTCTTGCCAACTCACAGCCAGTATTCCTGATGCCTCCCTGGGCCCTGAAGCTGAATGAAACATGAACCACACAGAAAGCACAGTGCCGAGTTTACAGGCAGCTGACGGGGTTGGTTCACCATCTATAGATATGATTCATCTACTACTAGCAAAATGGCCTGGCCTTTAAACAGTTTACATGTGGGTTTCAGTCTGTAGCATTTTAAAACACATAGTTTAAATGACTGCTGCATCTCGAAAACTATTTCAGTCTGGGTCTAAAGTGCTGAAAGTTCTTGGATTGCTGTTTGTATAAAAAAATCTAAAAATCTTGGGAGGGCGTTTGACACAGCGTTTAACACACACACTTGGGAGGCTTTTACACTACATTGGAATGCCTAGGTTTGCCTAGAGTGGTACTCTACTTCCAGTTTTAGCTTCCTCCCTTCCCCCTGAGAGTAGTAGGTGCTTGTTCAAGTTTCTGGGACCCTGACTCCCATGTGGGAGACTTGGATTGAGTTCCAAGTCTAATCTAGCTGGGTATTACAGGCAATTGGGCAGTGAATCAGCATATGGCAAACTATGTCTCTCTCTGTCTCTCTCTCTCTTTTCTACCTTTCAAATGAAAAATCTGGAAAAATCTATGAAAAGATTAAAGAATGAGGCATCAAATTGCACACTTCATTTCAAGAAAGCTCGGTCTCAAAGATCTCAAGTGCTTTTTAACCAAAGGATCATCTTAACTAGTGAGTGGAAATTTCAAGTATGGGCTGTGGAGCTTCAGAGAGGAAGCTGGTTAGTGTAGAGAGAAAGTGATCTCTTCTGACTACTGAGATACCAGACAGTGGCTTGTCTCCCGATGGGTCACAGCTTAGCTCTACCAAGTGAACAGGAGAAAGATACATCAACTAAAGCAAAAGTGGTCCCCTATTCATCCCACAATAAAGATGTAGCTGACTAAAAACTAGAGCACAATTAAGATGTCTTCATTTTCCTGAGAATGAGAAACTAAGAGCTGAATCTCTGCTCCAACTTCATGCAGCCAAGAAGACATACACTCACACACACACACCAACCGGAAGCACCCCTAGAAAAGGTTATTCAAATAACATTAAGATGGAGAAAGGGTCCAGGTGCCAGACCACAGAAATAAAAGAGAAGTTACACAGGCTTTCACAGCCATAGGGATTATCAGCGAAATCAGAGGACAAGATTTGCTGAGACTGACAAATTTCACTACAAAAACTTTTTTTTTCTTATCAAAAGGATATCCTAAACATGGAAAAAAAAAAAACCCTCAAATCACTTTGTAGAGGTTTGGATCACCTCTTCAAGAATGTTGTTCTATTTCTTATGGCATTCTCTGGGAAAATTAAAAACGACTATTTCATAAGTATAACTCCGCCCCAGAAGCAGCCTGTGTCATTCATGGTGTACCGTGGGAGTGCTCTGTGGGGCCTCTGAGTTGGATGAAGGCCACACAAATCGAGAAAGACCTAAAAGTAAATTTGTTGATTGCCAGATTTTAAAACAAAATTTGAAGTAGATAAAAACATGTCAACATACATAAAGGCAAATACTTGTCAACATCAACTGCCGAGCTGCTTGCTACATTAGAAATAATATGTAGATCATAACGTCTCACTTCACAAGTATCTACTGAGAAAATAATTCAAAACAAAATTATAGAAGCATTTTCAGAAATGCTAACAGAAAAACAGAATTAAAAGATGATTAATTAAAAGATGAGGTTTTTGTCGGGTGTAAAGTTTCTGAAATCCATGCATTTTTTTAATCATAAATATTCCATGAATTCTTTAAAGAATGCACCTGTGCAAGTGTTTCAATATTTTTTGCATCAAAATAATCTTTTAATTTTGCATGCACATTTTGCAGTAAACTCTTATTACTATATCATGAGTTCATTTTAATGAGTGTATCCTATATTATGTCTGGTCTATGTATGCCTTAGAAGGCCCACTTAATTGCTAATACATGGTGAATTGGAATACCCATGTAGGAATTCCTCCTTTTTTGTTTCCAATTGAATAAAAGAGTTTGATTTTTGTTTGTTTTACTGGCATGAAAGAGCAAAAAGGAAGCCGTTCATAAAGAGCTTGGAAGAGTTCATGAGTTACTCTGACCCTGTGCTCCCTGGGCATCTAAAGAGCTGAGTCATGTCACCTTTGGGTAAGACGGCCTGGGCAGATTATTGAGCAAGATGGGGGACACCACTCTCAGGAGCACATCTGCGCATAAAGAGATGTCTGTTCATTTGGAATGCTTAACAGGTATCTGAAGACAGGGCCTTGACTAAATTTCCAAGATCCACGTCTAACCAATATTCCTGGAAAAGACTGCAGAGATCCCAAGTGAATGGAGTACATACTTAAAAGTAACAAAGGAAATTGCTAGCAAGCCAAGATGGGAAATGAAGCAGTACTTGGCTCTTACTGGGGGGGGCGGGGAGAACATGGGAGAGGTACATGAACAGCTCATGTGAAATCCAAGTCAGAAACAACAGGGTGGGCCTTGGAAATAAATACCAGTAGGTTGACCACAATATGTGTATCTCATTGGCATTTGTACAGAGCCTACAGTTTAAATGGCACACGCACTGCAACACGTTGTTGCCCATGGTTTTCCCAACTGTGAAGAGATTGGAAAAATGAATGAATAGCGGCATCTCAGAGTCCCAGCCCACAGAGTCCAGTTTTTTACTGGACCTTAAGGCCACCATCTTAGCCTAGCAAGTTAAGCTGCTGCATGTGAAACCAGCATCTCATACACGTGCAGGGACAAGTACCAGCTGCTCCGCTTCCAATCCAGTTCCCTGCTAATGTGCCTGGGAAAGCAATGGAGAATAGCCCAAGTCATTACACTACTGCACTCATGCGCAGATCTGAAAGAAGCTACTAGTTCCAGTCTGGCCCAGTTATTGCTGCCATCTGGGGAGTAAACAGAAGTTCTCTCTCTTGCTGAAAACTCTGCCTTTCAAATTAATCCTCAATTGGACTTGACCTCAAGAACTCCTTTTTGCTTCCTTCCAGGTCTCTTTTATATTAAATTTTAAGTGAGATAAGCAGAAGCTGAAGAAAGATGGGAACAGAGTTTTAAATAAAGGATAATTTGGAAATCTCAACTATAAAGAGCACTGTGATGACCACTTTTGCTTTATGGAAACAAAGACACCAACACAGAGGATGAAGCGTAACATAACCTCACTGGTGAAAAACTGCTGAGTTGGGATGAAGAAGAGAAGTGGCTGGAAAAGTAAGGTAGAGAGGAACAACCATCTTGACAAAAAGCTGAGTTAGGAAACAGCTGGTGGAGCAGCTTACGGAAGAGGCTGCAATGGGTAGAAAGGCAGCTGGGAGGGGTCTTCCATGGCACCGGGGACAGAACAATCCAGGCCCTATTTCACAGGAGACAATTATACAGGCCACCACCAGCACCTCGGGAGGATATTTTCAAGCTTTTATTCTTATACCTTTTTAGTCTACTCACAGTGTTCAGCCCAACTTATCAGTTAAGATCTTGAGAAACTAATGGTTCTGCTCTAATCCAAAGTCTTGAAACATGTTATTTGGTTTGACAAGTCCGGTGGAAGAGAGCTATCACTGACAACTTGGAAGAGGAGCAGTTCACACATAGCTGATGAGAAGCTTTCAAAGACCAAGAGGATAAGAATGCTCACATTCTTTTTTGTTCCTATTTTCATGAGTGGGTATCAAAAATGGTGAATCACACCAAGGCAGACAATGATTTGTTCTTATTTGCATACCCACTGCTCCCATCCAACTCAGCACTGTCCCTCTTCCTGCCATCTAAATGTTTCCTCTTTCTTGAAGACTATCATCACCCACTCTAAAACTTGGGAATCCTTGCCTGGGTACACTGATGGTTAGTTCAAAGCTGGATCATGTTAACCACACCCAAGAGTAGCAGACTAAATATGAAAGAAGGTTCCCACAAGTGTGTACAAGTGCATAAAGCCCAAAAGAAGAGTGCCAGCTGCCAGGAAGCCAGGAACCTTGGAAGATGTCACCCACCAGAGGAGGCCCAGACTTAGGGTGGCCAGGAACCCTCACATCAGGAGTGCTTGATGATACAGCCTTCTCGCTGGAATGCCCAACTGCTATGTTTCTGTAACTGCTAGGAGCCTTGCCAGAAGGCAGATGGGAAGGTCTAGAAGGCTGTTTGGATGACACCTGCAAAGATTTGCCCTCGGGGACACCAGGGCTTCGGAAAGCTTGAGAACTGTGCACCGCTTCTGAATAGAGAGGATAGGCCAGGAAGCCGAGGGACGAGGACAAATAGCAACTAGCAAACAGTGAATTCAAAGTAGACAAGTTCACGTTAGAACGTGCTGGGTGCAGGCTCGAGGAAGGAAGCAGGCACTGCTTCAGACTTTGCCCCCTTTTGTGGCACATTTGCATGTGGGGGAGCTGCCCAGAGGAAGGAAGAAATGCCGGGATGCTTGGCAAGGAATCAAGGTCCTCTCCAATGGCATCTCCGGGTATTCCTTTTCTAAACTCACGCTTGGGCCTGGGGACACTGAAGGTCAGGGGGTCAGGCATCAGGGAGAGATCACTCAGGGATGCAGCACTTCTTAGAAGAGGTGAGGTGCTTGGGAAGCTGTGGCAGTGTGTGCCCCTCCTGCCCCAAGGGCCAGGCGAGTCTCTAAGGCCCTCCTGTGCTGCTGTAACAGGCAGCTGGGGGCTGGTCACTTTGGAGATGTTGGGGGAGGACACACACATGACCTTACGCCCTAACACTCGAGTGGGGCTACATCCTTGGGAGCGAGATCGCTTTGGAGATCTCCCTATAGTCCGTGAGGTTTCCTGAGGCGTCAGTTGTTCTTCCAAAACAGGTCTAACAGGACAAGCTGGCCCATCTTTCTTCCGAGAGTGACGCTCCAGCAGGAGTCTTGATCTGGAATCATTGATTCCTGCAGGTGCTACCGGCAATAGCTTTGCAGAGGCTCGTTTTTCAGGCTTTTGAACAGCTGCCATGCTCAGGAGCCGAGAGCCTGGCTTAGCTGAAGATTGCGACTTGGTATGGCTAGACAATGGCTTAGCAGGAGAGGAAGGCGACACATCTCTGCCAGCCCAGAAGCATGTCAGCTGCTGTTTAACAGCACAGTGATTCTGCTCAGCTGGAAGAACAGACGGACTACTAAGGGGTCGTTGTTGTACCTGGGAGTAGGATCACAAAATTGAATTATTGATGCAAAAGAAAGAGGCAGCTATCAAAGAAACAGGTTAACATGGATCACACTTACAAACTCTAGGGGAAAGTGATTAAAAAACGTTCTTCACCTTAAACTCGAATCATTTTCTCTACAAACTTACTTTTTTTTTAAAGCTTGAAAAGAAACAAGTTATTTTCAGTAGTGTACATTCTTAAGGATTTAAATAACATATGCAGTACACAATTCCTTAAGAAAACAATTTTTAAAGGTGTGCCTTCCCTAGACTACCTGATTTAACACTAGGAAAATATTTTTTTCAAGCATTTTGTGTATATATGTAAGACACAACAAACAAAAGAGAAAGAGACATTCTTATAAAATCAGGTCTCATCTAAGGAATCTGATTCTGGTAACACTGCAGTTTAAGTAACGTCAAAATAGCTCTAGGAAGAACTGTCTAAAGATGCTACATCAAAACCCCAGGCTGTGTGTATGCTACGAACTAACACATTACCACCAGGAAGAGGGAAGGCCACGGCTACAGTGGTTTTGTTAGCTTATTTGCTTTACTCCTTGGTGGTCACTTTATATTTTTCCTCATCCAAACATTGTTTAATAAGGTTTTTTTTTTTTAAAGACAGCTCATCACAGAGCCTCACTCCTACAAACCTTCCCTTACTCGAGCAATGAGGGGGGTCAATGCTCTGCAAGGATGTGCCCCAGAAAGGCAAAAGACCCTTGATTTTGAAAGCAAACATCAGAAGCAAGTGCACATGTGTGGTGCCACAGGCCAGGGTCAGCAATGCTGTGATCAGCAACAGAGCCCAGGAGCAGGTAGAATTCCATATCAATGCTCAACCACGTTCTTTCCAGGGAAAGGTCGTGAGACATCACCGTGCCACTAATTCACCTGCACTTGTATAAAGGAATGTCTCTCAGCGGATTCGTGGGAAAAGGACAATGAATACACCTAGGCACCTTGCCACTTCCCTTTAGAAAGAGCTTCATGGTTCTCCCCAAAGCAAAGTGTGCATCTTTACAGAACAAACTGCTCTGCCTTTCTGAAACACTCTCCTTCTGCTGGAGGAAACCCATCAGAGGCAAAGGCCTGGCCAGTCAGGCGTGGTGACACCTGCTTACTCACCTCCTTGGCCCACGCTGGCTTCTCACTGGGACTCATCCCTTCTTTGTAATGGTACAGCGGCTTCTTCTCCACGGGTCTCTGCTCCTGCCTCTGATGCTGGAGGGAAACCAAGTAGTCCCTCTCTTGCTTTAGCTGTCTCTGCAGTCTTTCTGCTTGCCTCTGCTCTTCAAGTTGTTTGCGTTTATATTCCTGTCCAGATCAGGAGAGAAGAGCCAGGAGAAGGCCAAATTACCTCATGGAAGCCCCTGGCCTGGCAGCATCATTTAAACATGCAATGGAGTCAACATTAAGCTAAATGATGAAGGGCTTTCATGTGAACGGAAGTGTAGGACGAGAGCAGGATGGGCCGCAGACATCAGCAACTACATTAGAATCCCGCATCATCTGATGTACTGCTGCTGCAATGGTGCTCTCTTGTCAGACACCTTTACTTAAAAAGTACTTACACCTGGGAAAAATGGCCATGATGAGGACATCTGGATGGCCTGCACACAGTGCCTAAAGAGCCATCCACTTTTGCTTTTTATAATCAAGCCACCTCAATCTGCATAATCATGTAGAGAATTAACAAAGACGGTTGCCAAGACCGTATCTGTTCAGTAAGAGTTGGACCAACAGAAATCATTTGCAAGCTCATGCTCAGGCTAAAAGGCATCAGCATGCCATTGAATAAAAGATTCGGTTTTCAAAAAAAGATACACCAAGAACAGTAATTAAAAAAGAAAACGATTTTAAGTGGAACAAGGAACACAAAATGTCCCCATCAAAAAGTTAAAACTTAAGGTCTGCAAATGAAATATGGTGGCAGCGTTGAGTGCATTCTTGTGGGAACAGCACCCTGGGCTGTGGTCGTACCCCAGCACATTGCAAATGGTCTTGAAAATGACTTTGCAATAAACACCATGGATCATAAAATGCTCTGACCTTATAACAAGGTGGGAACCATGTAAAAATATCATAAATAGATGGACTTCATCACAAATGCATAACTATTATACTAGACTTGGAGAATCCCTTCTTCTGGATGGTTGCATTAGGAAGGTACACACACACACACACACACACACACACACACACACACACACACACACACACACACAGGATGAAAACACAGCACGTCAGCTGGCTCTTGGCTTTCCCATTACCAGAAGGAGAGCTTGTTCATGCAGTAGCTGCTGCTGCAAGATCTCTAACTGCCTCTGCTCCTCCTCTAACTGTCGCCTGATGTATTCCTGGAGAGAGGTGGGCAGCAGAGAATTCAGAGGAACAGAGAGAAAGAGAGAGAGAAAAAAGAACCGGTAATTTCAAAGGAGACAAGAGCTGTCGAGTCAAGGCAGGAGGGGAAAATACCCAGACACCCCCTCACCAAAGAGGCAGCGAGCGCCACACCAAAGCAGAGCACCCCAACGCAGCCAAAGGCACAAGCCCGCCACCCGCAGCAGCTCACTGAGCCAGCACGGTGCTTCATCCTTACCACTTGGTTTTCATAAACCTGGCTACATTTGAAAGCTTTTCATTACAGGCTGTTGTCTTTATAGACTCCCTAGAACTAATAATGCTATGAAGTGCAGAGGCTCCTGTGCAAGCAACAGGGATAAAATGATTGCTCACTGCCATCATGCACCATCTTTGTATCAGGCCCCTCCTGCAGGGCTGGGTTGTTCGTCAGAAGACGACCGCCCAGCCGCAGGGTCTGCATCAGTGACTGACAGCCTCAGACATCAGAGACTCCACGAGTAGAGAAAGGCTCTGAGAAACGTGGGGCCTGACTCGTTGCTCATGCTTTAGTGCCACCTCTGAATCCAGACTCCATGAATGTGGGAAGTCAAGAGGACCCGGGTTTTTCATGGGTCTCTGGTCTGGGTAGGAGGCCGGGTTCAGCGCCAAGGTTGTGCATTTGACTTCTTAAATGGGGGGAGAAGAGTTGCTTTGAGAAAGAGTAAAAACCCATTTCAACCAAGCAGCACTAAGAGAAGGCGCCCCACACCCCAGAGGCCAGCCGCAGAAGGGCTGCGTGCGGGGGTCCTCGTGGTACCTGCTCGTGCTCGGCGCGCCTCCTCTCCTCCTCCCGGCGCAGCTGCTCCTCGTAATGCCGACGCTGCTCCCTCTCCTGCTGCTTGCGCAGCTCCTTCTCTCGCCTTTGTTGCTGTGGAGGGGCAACAAGCAGACAATCCATGAAGGCAGCGGGCCTGGGAGGGGATAGAGGCCAGCAGAGAGGGACAGTCCCAACAGCAACCCGATCCATCCAAGGTGTGCTGTCTCCCGGGATGCCGGGTGCAGGATCAGGGAACAGCGGTATTACGGACACTCCCAACAGCAACCCAATCCGAGGTGCACTGTCTATTAGGGTATTAGGGACATGCAAGTGGACTCATATCAGGAGATTCTTGCCAAAAGCATTCTTCCAGTGGCTAGGGAGGGAGAGATACCAATGTGTAAAATGCAATTAAGGAATCACCAAGTAATCTTGACTTCAAGCAATCTAAACGTTTTGTACATACAGAATGGAGAAGTCACAGGTGAAGTTGACAGTCAATGCTGCTCATTATTTAGGGTCTGTGTATGAAAATTCACCCACTCCTATTGGTTGCACGACTCTTGCTTGCCTGCTGTGCCTCTGTGCTTTCTGAAGCATTATTACTACTATGGCTAGTATTATTAGTTCTGATGTCAGTTTCACCTTCTTGTTCAAGTAAGACCCCTGTTTTCAGGACCATCATTAGCATCGCCGTCAAGCCATAAAATTACCAACTGCTGACACTGAACCTCTTAGTAGGAACTTTCCTTGTTTCATTGAGTTACTGTTCTCTCAAAGCCTCTAAGGGAGACATTATTGTGATTCTCACTCTATATGAGAAAAACTGAGTCAGATCAAGTTATTCTTCAAGTTATGCCCAGGAATAAGCAGTGGAGCTTGAGTTCAAAGCAAGCAATGAAATTCCAGTGTCTGACTTCACTCATTAGAGCATAAGAGGCTACGAGAGTGGCTGGGGAATCACAAAAACCTGGTTCTAATTGGGAGAAGTCAGAGCAAAGCCTAGCAGCTAGAGGTTTTTCTAGCAGGTATAGCAGCCTTGCCCTGCCCATCTGCAGGGTATCGGAGGAGACTTGCCAGCTGTCCCAATAACTGGTGAACATGAGTGGCACTTAGCACCAGGAGCCAGTGGTGCCAAACATCCTGCTTTGTGCAAGATTGTGATACACTGCAAAGCCTTTCCCATGTATCATGCCACAGGTGCTCTTCACTCCTTCTGAGATGGGCTGCAGGCCGTTTATGTCAGATGCCTGTCCTGGCACTGGCACTTCTCCTTCCTCATGTGCAAGCTTCATAGAGGAACTGATGCGGCCATTCTCTGTGATTCTTACTAACACCTCCCTGCACAGCAGCAGAACATGAAGTGCCTGGAACAGAACAGTTTGTGACGATCACATTGGCAAGCTAGCACCACATAACCTGGAAAGTGGAGAACAAAAGTTCTCTGTCCCAGTCTCAGCTGAACCAACCGCAGACCATCAGGATACCGCATCGACCCATGTAAACCTGCTGGATGCACTGCCTGATGCAACTCTATGGACCAGCTGTCTTCCAGGGGCGTCTGACACCTCGGAGCTAAACTGAATCTTTTTGTGGAGACTCAACATCTGAAACTTCCAGGTCAATAATTCTTTTCCCACCTTCGAATACAGGTAGGCAATGACAAGCCACTGCTGGGCTTTATGAAGCATCTCCTAAAGGCTCCCTGGCAGGCATGGGAGGGCACTAAGAGAGTGATCTGAGCCTTTGTTACAGATGTAGGCATGACGTGATAGGACATTGATGAGACGAGCAAAGGTTGGCAGCGAATCCCTGTTGCTGCTGCTGCTGCAGCCAGAGGAAGAAGGCTAAAGAGCACTGAGATTTCCAGTCATTTCAAAGGCCTGCAGTGGACACTAGCTCACAAGTGGAAATGGCCATCGGGTCAAAGTCAACAGGAGAACCTGGGCACTCTGAGGTGTGGGAGGGTGGGTGGAGGTCCCTGCTGAGGGATTTCTGATGGTGCAACAGAGAAGAGAGGAATGGCAGGGGTTGAGGGAGGCTAAAAGTGCCAACTCCACCCCCCAGATATGCGGTGATGTGTCTTACACACAGATAATACAGGAAGACAAAAGGGAGAAAAGCTCATCATAGAACCAACTGAATTATTTGGATTACAGACCCAAAACACAGACATTTCCAACATTCAACCAAAGCAAATCAGCGACAGCCCAGAGAATAAAATAATTATGTGTACAGAATTGGCTCCTGGCAGGAAATAGCCCTAATTTAGTTAACACTTCAAGTTTTTTACTCAAACTATCAGTCTCTTTCTTGTGGGGAAAAAAAAAATATCAAGCCTTTTGAAGATTTGGCTGATTTTTTATGTGAAGGATTTGTACATTTTCAACCCCTTTGCAGGAATCAATACTGTTTTATAATTACATGTCACTCAGGTCCCACGCAAGGCGTATTCCGTATTGATTACAACTCAAGGCAGCCTGGGCTTCCCAAGTCCTCTGCAGTTTCTGAGAAAGACGTGCACAAGTGACTAATAATTAATGATGCTCTCTCTCGGATGGGCCGCTGCTAACACATGGAGGCAGAGGCCAAGACTCTGATCCCTGTGGTGAGGCTGAAAAAGAAATCGCTCCTCCAACCTTCAGAAGGCACCCTGCCAATTTCCACCTGCTGTGTCTCCATGTTAATGCCTTTCCTGGAAAAATGTTTCCTCCTCCTGGGCATGGGGCTGTTGCAGGGGACACACCGATACATGCCAAAGGGAGGCCACACGGGAAGCAGACACTGCTACCTAGCTTTGCTGGCTCTTGCTCAAGGCAACTCTGACACTGCTGTACCCCCTACTCCCCACCCTGCCATGCAGGACCTGGCACCTAGAAGATGAACCCAAGAACTTATTGAAATGGACAGAGTAAAAATGGTTCAGGAAAAACAAAACAGCACAGGATCTTTTCCAACTTGTGCACACCATTTTCGTTCTGCTCAATTACGGATGGTTTAGACCATACCATACTCTGTATTTCTTTTGCACAGTGTCCTACCAATTCTGCAATCCTGATTGAAAGCTATTTGTGGGTCTCTATTCCACACAAGTTTTCTTTCTCATTGTTTCCCATAGGGGAGGTGGAACCATTGACATTTGTTCCACTGAACACTGCAGATAGAATAAACAATAGAAAGATGAAAAAAATACTATGCTGGGCCAGAATATTCTTTCACATTGAACCCAGACCTGAGTGTGTTCTTCTAGAAGCAGAAACTTTTTCAGCTGCTACTGACATGGTACCCAGTTGTTCTCTTAGAGTAAGGCACGGACATTAATAAGAAATTGAAAGTCTAAGCTTCAAGCAATGGGAAAGGCAAAAATGAAAACGACATTTCTAGATTTCACTCAAATCATTCAGAATGATGGTGGTGGTCCTGTTGTTGGAAAAGAAGAGCTTCAACCAACTACTTAGCAACTCTAGACTTCACCTACTTTGAATCACCCAAAGGCATATTTTCACACGTATTTTCTAGAACATGTTGCCACAAGGACATTCCAGAAATGAAACACGTAGCGGGCTCCTTCCTGAGGGGTGACGGCACTGCAAGTTTGGCAGGCAGAGGCGTCACTGCCCTCCTCCGGGGAGTCAGTCCCTCAGCAGGACCATTCTGGCTGTCCTGGCCCAGTGGGCCTTCTTGGCCACATCTTCCCTGCAGGCTTGTTTGCAGAGACCACTTTAAGGCAGGGACTGCAGGACTGTGCTGTCAGGCCTGTGAATGGATTCATTTTAAATGAGGAAAGAGGACTCCTAAGGCACTGGCCAAGGACCATCAGAGGTAACAGTTACCGCACACACTCTTTAAATTCTTACCAAAGAATACACCTCAAGCCTAAAATACTGAGTGCTTATTATAGGTCTGGCTCTAAGGAATATTCTCTTCTTTTTTTTAAAGATTTATTTTATTTTTTTTGTTGGAAAGGCAGATATTTAGAGAGGAGAGACAGAGAGGAAGATCTTCCGTCCAATGATTCACTCCCCAAGTGAGCGCAACGGCCGATGCTATGCCGATCTGAAGCCAGGAGCCTCTTCTGGGTGTCCCACATGGGTGCAGGGTCCCAAAGCTTTGGGCTGTCCTCGACTGCTTTCCTGGGCCACAGCCAGGGAGCTGGATGGGAAGCAGGGCTGCCGGGATTAGAAATGGCGCCCATATAGGATCCCTGGCGTGCAAGGCGAGGACCTTAACCACTGCGCCATCGCGCCGGGCCCATCTAAGGAATATTCTTCACGAGCTGTCTGCTACAAAGGTGAACCCCCTCTTGGGATGCCCACAGCTCATACCAGTGTGCCCGCCTCAAGACCTGGCTCCTGCGCTTTACAACCAGCTTCCTGCCAATGTGCTTTGTGCGAGGTTGCAAATCATGCATCAAGAACTTGGGTTTCTGCCACCCCAGTGAAAGACCCAGAGGCAATTCTGGGTTCTTGGCAGCTTTGGCCTGGCCCAACCTTGCTTGTTTAGGTACTTACAGAGTAAGTTCCCTAATGATTGAAAATGAAAGCTCGCTCTCCATCTGACTCTGCTCTTCAAATAAAATAATTTTTTTCTTTGAAAGAGAAAAGTTGCTTCTTTACAAAATTTTGAAAATATTCCTCATGGGGTTCAGCATGATGGCGTAGTGGTTAAAGTCCTCACCTTGCACGCACTGAGATCCCATATGATCGACGGTTCTAATCCTGGCGGCCCTGCTTCCCATCCAGCTCCCTGCCTGTGGCCTGGGAAAGCAGTCGAGGGCAGCCCAAAGCTTTGGGGACCTGCACCCGCGTGGGAGACCTGGAAGAGCTCCTGGCTCTTGGCTTCAGATCGGCTCAGCTCCAGCCATTGCGATCACTTGGGGAGTGAAGCATTGGATGGAAGATCTTCCTCTCTGTCTCTCCTCCTCTCTGTAATATCCGCCTTTCCAATAAAAATAAATAAATCTTTTTTTTTAAAAAAAGAAAATATTCCTCATGGATGTTAATTATGAAGGTTGTGGAGCTGTGTTGGGGTGTATGTGGCTTTTTTTTTTTTTTTTGCTTGTTTCATTAAGCTTGCTTCTAAGATTACTTTAAATCAGCAGGAAGGCTGCA